ATTTAGATAGTATGTTTTTTTTTATCCATAGCTACGTACTAATAAAAACACTACTGTACTCTTAACTTTATGTAACTTATAAATTGTAAGAAACACAAATGTTTGGAAATTGGAATTGATTCAATATGACATATTTAATGTATATTAGTTATATGTATATCAGTATATGTAATAAATAATAATGTATGGTACGATTGGTATCATACTATCATTGGTATGTATAGATAATCGATAAATGTATCTGATTATTAAAACTTAAAACAGTTGATGATCGATCTAATTGAATACTTCTACTTCCCCACCCGTTTTCTTTAACTTGCAAGTTGCAACATATATATGTTGCAGCCTTGTAGGCACGTAATCTTAAAAGGTGATTAGAGAGGGTAAGACAACAAAGTAATTCAGCAATATAACTTTAACACCAAAATTATGGAATAGTTACAAACAATTGTCAATTATTACTTTATTAGACTAATGGGAAATTGAATAATCGTGATTTTAATTAAACATCCAAATATAGTTCCGTAACATTAAATTATTAGTTTATTACAATATCAATTATCGATTTATCGTATTCAAAGTACCAATTCATCAAATCATGGTTATGACGCGATCTTTAAAACAATTAAAACAAGAAGTTGATAGCCTGATAATATTTGATAATGAAACAATAATACATTAATAACCTTATAAATTTGTAATAGACTAATATTTAATAAACAACAACAAGACTATAACCAAATTTGAAACATAACACATTAACATGATATAGAATGAATGAGAATTTCTGTAATTCTATATAATCTTATATCTGAATCGATTTATCGTATTCAAAGTAGCAACTCATCAAAACATGGTCATGACACGATATCTAAAACAATCCAACAAGAAGCTGATAACCTAATAATATATATTTAATAATGAAACAATAATACATTAATACATTATAAATTTGTAATAGACTAATATGATAATATCGAATAAACAACAACAAGAGTATAACCAAACTTGAAACATGACATATTAACATGATATAGAATAATTGAATAAATGAAGATTTGTGTAATTGTATATAATCCGATGTCTGAAAATAAAGTGACGAAGTCCCAACTTTATATAAAACGAAAATAGCTAACCGGTTAAAAATCTCTTAAAACCCAATTTCTACTCGATCCATTATTTTTTTCACCAACCTATGCCGGCCCGCTAATGAAATGGAAATACTAGTCCCAACTTGATATAAAACAAAACGCGCTAACTGGTCAAAACCACTTTTTAGAACTCGATTTCAACCCGATCCAATTTAACCGATTACCAAACTAACCCGAATGATTTTAGCACCAAACCGAATATAAACCGAACCGATATGAATCGAACTAGCATTAACCCGGGTAAACCCGCCCCTAAACCGACCCATTTCAAAATAATCCGTTCATGACCCGAACCGATATGAACCCGGACCGACGTTGACCCGGTAAAACCGCCCCTGAACCGATCCGTTTCAAACCGGTCAGATCATGACCCGAACCGTTTATAAACCGAACGGGCATTGACCCGGGTAAACCCGCCCCTGAACCGACCTGTTTCAAACCGACCCGATTATTAACTGAACCGTTTAAAAACCGAACCGGCATTGACCCGAGTAAATCCGCCCCTGAAGCGACCCGTTTCTAACCGATCTGATTATGACCCGAACTGTTTATAAACCGAACCGTTTATGACCCGAACAGAATTTAAATCGTACAAAAATAAACCGAAACCGAACCGACCTGTGACTAATCAAAACCGAACTGAACCGACCCGCCGTCTAAATGAAACCGTTTTAACCCGAACCGTTTCAAACCGAAACCGTTTCAAACTGAGGTCAAACCGAACTGCCAGATCGAAGTCCCACCCCTACGTATTAGTATTTATCTGAAATTTTCCTTAACCCACTTTCCACAAAGAGAACGTGCATTTTGGTTGAACTCAACTTTTAATAGAGCACAAAGTATTGGTTGCGGTCATATTTCGTGCGTCAATACCTTCTCTTTTTTAAACAAAATCCTTTCTTTATCATTTTTTCATCATATCTTCCTTTGTCTCCACTAAATACCGTCCATCAATAATAGCTACGGCTACAATAGATTTTTCTATCTCCTCCTCATTTAGAAAATCTTAAATATATTCGCAATCTATCATCGTCATCTTCTTGAGATGAAGAGCAAGTTTTCACCCGATAACAAGATGGTGGTGGTTATGACGGAGGAGAGAAGCGAGGTCAATTATGGCGGAAGAGAGAGAAAGTCGAGAATTGAAATGGATGGAAAGGGGAGAAAAAATAAAGATTGTTGATTATATTTGTCCATGATTTATGCTTGAATTGTTTTGATGTATAATTGTTTGAGATTCTCATATTTTTCAAAAAATGCCCAAAAAACTAAATTGGGGCTTATTATGTGATGTATAATTATTGAAATTGATTGTCCCATATGATTGTAGGTTGAATTGTGAGCATTTTGATAACAAATGCATGTATTTTGGTTGAGAAATGAGCAAGTTAAGTATACCCATGACCTTTAGTACGAGCTCTTCAATGGAGGTTCCGCTATTGTTATACATATCCTCAAATAAATTATACATATCCTCAAACAAGTTATACATATCCTCCATCAAATAACTTATATCCTCCAATAATTTATACTACGTACATATCCTTTACTGACGGGATGATATCCTATATTGGCTATATGATATCATTTATGATTGTGTCTATGATATCCTATATTGACTAGATAATATCCTCTATTGACTACTCCATCCATCCCTTTTATTTTTGCCATTGTTATTTTTTGGGTCAAACTTTGTAAACTTTGACCGTAAATTACTGTTAATTTATAAGAGATAATATAGTCATGAGTGATCTTAATAGATTCGACTTATTGCATATTTTATTAATATCAAGTATTTAGAATTTTTATGCGTATCAAAATGAAACTATATGTGTTCTAAGACATGTCTTTAAGACCGTGAAATGTTAAACGAGACAATAAAATAGGGAAAGAGGGAGTATATGATATCATGGTTGGACGATATCCTCTATTGGCTATATGATGTCATCCATCCATTTTATCATATAGCCAATAGAGGATATCATCGAGCCAATAGAGAAAATCATCCAGCCAGTGAAGGATATCATTCAAGATGATATCATTCAACCAATAGAGGATATCAAAAACTCACTAGACTAACGAAACATTTGGTCAGTCCGGACTGACGCAATACCTTCTCTTAATAGAAATACCACCACCTCCTCTTACTACCCTCCACTACCACCACCACCTCCTCCTCTTTTACCACCAACCACCATCCCTTTTACCTCTGGTCCAGGCAAGCTAGATCACGCGGTATTAACGCGTCGATTAGGAGAGATACGACACCGAGGATTAGTATATGAGAAGGTAGTTTGTTACTCGAGCGCGATAGAGTTGTGGATGATTTTGGGACTCGTTTGGATGAGCAGGAGGGAGCTGGTAGTTGGCCTAATGCTTTGTTAAGGACTACTGGCTCGGATTCGGTTCGAGATACGAGGATGATGGACCTGAGGACGATGAAGCTAAGGCTGAGGAGCATCCGACAGTCGTGACGAGAGGTCCTGATGGGAGATCGATTTACGAGTTCACGACCACCTCGATCTGTAGTGTCTTGGCTTGTTCAGGGGCCGATGGACGGTGGGCCTGAGGATAGGAGCATTATTCCTAGTTTTGGGGCCATGTTGCTCGATATATTTGGAATGGGGAAGATCGACGGTTTTTACGATGTCATACTAGGGCTAGTGTGTGTAAAGAGTTGAGTGAATGAATAGAGGGATTTACGCCTGCCACTACTACTCGGATACGACAAACTGGGTTGTCACACCTGTCGAGCATTATGCACTTGGGGGTTGACTCTAGGCTCCTGAAGGTCATCGTAGTTAGGATCCATCTCACCCTCAATAACTCGTGACACGTGCCTAAGCATTATAGGATCGCTGGCAATAACCTGATCAATAAGGGTGCAGAAATGAGCTCATTCCTCATCATTTTCATCAACTATATTAGGAATGTCGACACCCTCTCCAATGACAAGGGTCCTCCAATATGGATGAATGTTCTTCGAATACAACCCCTTCCCTGCATCAATCGAGTCGTATATTTGGCACGCACAAGGTAACCCGTGGGTAGTATGTAGAGCACACCCACAACTCTGATGGATATCCGTACTTAACCCTCGCATCCTGTTCGTCTCACCGAGAAGAAAAGATAGACAATAGTGGGATACCTTTCCGTTCAGCTGATGCTAAGGCTTATGCTTGTACTTCTGACCATGACTTGTTCTACATGCCTCCAACCCATTATGAATGGCTATGATCTGGTTCTCAATCGAGCAGTGCACCTGAGCCCAAACTCTGTCTAAAGAACATGTTAAACTGTCAATCCAATACTTCAATGCTAAATGGTAGCTCTCAACCCTACAACTGTTAACATTGCCGAAGTGCAGTACTTGATTTGTCCAAAACATCATAAACTTCTCCTTGTGTATAAGCCAAGTGTCCACAACATATATAGTCAATCACTTTCGACCATCGAGCTCACTTGGTTTTCAACACTGCAAGTTCTCTATGATATGCCTCTTCAGATGTAGCATTAATCACAAGCCTCCCCCACCCCATTTTTGAACTTGGCACCAATCTCCTTTTTTTTCAAACATAGAAGTAAATTTCGCCTCAACATCTTTGTTAATATGCCACACATTCAACATGTGTCTTGCGTTTGGAAACACACTCTTCAACGCTGCGCAAAGGCTAAGCTCCCTATCTGTCAGTAGTAGTACCAACGACTCTCTATGATGACCGATCAACAACCTCAAGCACTGAAGCACCCACCAAAAACTTTCTTGGGACTCTAACCTCATGAATGCGTATGCAACAAGAAAGTTCTGATTAGTCGGTGTAACCCCAACAATCTCAATTTTCTAAAAGAATGGCATGCCGTATCGGTTTGTCTTGTAAGTGGAATCCATACTTATCACGTACGGGTATGTGCGTAGCAAATTTGTCATGATCGGGTGTGCCATGAAAGCATGTTGCAACACATTGTTGGTATCACTAAAAACCCAACTGAGGTATTTGCTCTTTTTGGCCAAATGAAGCACCTGGTGAACTACTTCTCTTCCCTTGAATCTCTCCATTCTTATGTTACTTTTGCAGTTGTAGACATGCTTGATGTTTGGATGGTCTCAGAAAAACTTTTCTACAAGATTTCTCATGATATGTCGAGGCCGGGGCACCTGTGCATGAGTCATGTCACGCACTACCTGCTTAGCCGAAAAGACTAAGACCGCTAATTTGTCAATGTCCCTCGGGATAAGCAACTGAGCTTCCAACCACTTACTACTCTGACATACTCAACCTTGAGTTTGAAGGGACAACTTTTTGCCTTGCTTTTGGTGTCTTTGCGTATTGCGTTCATCCTGTCTCTTATCATACTCATTTTTCCACGATCACAACTCACAGATCGATACAATCGACCACTTTGTTTGGTCTTGTAAGAAGCCTTCACTAACATAAATTCAAGCGGCCGACAAACATTTTGTGCCCATAGAACAACATCCTCAAAACTAGGAAACACTGCATCGGTAAAAAAAATGTTCGTTGTAGTCCACACCATCACCATCCTCGGACTCAGAATCCTATATGAATATTAATAAAAGTTTAGAACCAACAAACACGGCTAATAATAATAACAACAAAAATAATTCTAACAACACAACTAATTATAAAAAACTTAGTATATTCAACAATACCCTAAACTTTTTAAACCCTATAATAATTCTAATAACAGTAATAATTTCGAATGTGTGAAATCCAATAACAATTCGTATGCGTGAAATCCAAAAAAAAAAAGAGAAATCGAAACCCAGACAAACACCCAGGATTTTCGAAAAACCAAGGCTGAAACGCCTAGTTTTTTCGAATATCCTAGGTGTTTTCCTAGGTTTTGAAGTTTTTTTTAAAAAATTATCGCAATGTACCGAGTCCGTACAGTTCGACGAGCCTTTGGGGAGCGTCAAAGGATGTGTTTCTGCTCTTTCGTCATTGTCGATAAGATCCAACGAATTTGATTTTGCAAAAGTTTAAAAATTTATTTGATTCAAAAATCACGGTGGTTAGGGTGGTTGACTGATCAGCGTTGGTGGCCATTGACCACTAGAGAGAACGGTTAAAATTTTTGTGTACGGTAAAAGTGTGAAATTGAGGTAAAATTGATTATTTTTATAATCGTTATTATAAGGATAAGTATGTAATTTTATTTTATTTTGCGAGCGTTAGTTAGATATTCGAGGGCGATATTTAACAACCCAAAAAAAGAGTAATGGTTATAATTGAATTATTACTCCCTCCGATTTTAAATACTTGCTCCACTTTCCTTTTTCAGCCGTTTTTAAATACTTGCTCCATTTTCTTATTTGGAAAGCTTTTGGTTGTGTTTGGTAAATAACTTATTTGAGCAAAATTAGCTTATTTGACTAATATTAGCTTATTGACAATTAAATAAGCTAATTCAAGGTGTTTGGTGAGAAGCTTATTTGAAGAGCTAATTCCACAAAATATTTAGGAGCCTTTTCAATTAGCTTATTCATTAATTTATGGTTAAATGACACTTACACCCCATTTAATTTAAAATAATACCTAAACTACCTACCTCACAATTATCTTATTGGTTATTTCTCATACTCAATCAACTTTATGCTATTAGTTATTACTAAACACTTTTATACAATCAGCTAATTAAATAACTTAGTTAAATCAGTGAGTTAAGCATAATACAAGGACTTAACATTTGACATTTTTCACCGTTAAGAACTTCTGACTTTTTTTTTCACCTTTAAGGACTTAACATTATCTTTCTGGTGATAATTTAAAACAACTAACCCAAGGTGAGTTAATCTTTGGTTAAATATTTTTTTTCTTTTTCCTGATTGAACTTTCTCACTTATTATTTTATTATCTCCAATAAAAAGCATTTTGGCGCAAACTTCTTCCCTGTTCTAGAAGCGGTGCTACAGTTTGGCTAGGGGATTGACGAAGGCGATTTTGGGTAAATTCACGGAATTTCGACCCGATTCTAGGTAAAGTTGCAAGGTACGCCCGTTTTTCATATATACGTGTATTTATTTTGTGAATAATGCAAAAGAAATTCGTGGGTTTGTTAGGGTTTAGGGTTTTGACGAGAATGATTTTTTATCAAGTGATTATTTTTGCTAAATTTGATATTGTTGTTTATGAAATTGTTGGTTGTTGTCTAGATGTTGTGATTTTAATTATCTGTGTATGACGACTTGGAAGGAATTGACGAACCCAGACCCTAATCTATGTTAGCAGTAAACTTGTGAAAAACAGGGGTAGTATATACGGTGTTTGGAATTTGGTATTTTGGCTCAAACATAATTAAAATAAAGAGCAGCAATTGAGCAGGGCAAAAACACTTAAGAAACAACTTTAATAAAATATATTATCTAAAATCCAATAATGCTTTATTGCCACAAACTTCGATTGGTTTAGAGTAGTAATGCTTTATTATCTTCTGTTGCATGTATGCTACTAGTCTACTACTATTGTCTATCACTTTCAGGGCTTGTTATGATAGCAATCTACAAGGATATACATGCATTTGAATCATTTTGGAAAATTTTTATGCAAGGGAAGTTTGTATGTATTTAATGTATCCCTCAATTGAGTTAGAGTAGTAATGATTAAGGGATAATTAGTTGTCAATGGTTGACATTGTGATTAGGATGTTGTTAGACAATGTAATAACAATGACAATGTTTTGTAACGATCTGAACTTGAAATTATTAATGCAATGAATGATCTTTTTATTTTTGCTCATTTTTGTTTGATATTTGGTCAATATTTTGTGTTGCTGTGTAGAAAATATGGATATCCAACCTTGTATTGTGCTGCATCATGGGGGTAAGTGGGAATACAATCATAATCTTTGTTACATTGGTGGTCAAGTAAAATTAATCAATGATATTCCACTTGATTTTAATGCCACCTACTTTAAATCATTGATTGATTCACTAGGCTATGATAATGTGATAAAGCTCCATTATTGTGACCCTTTGAAGAATCTTCAAACAGGAGTGAGATTCTTGACATATGAAGACTGTACTTTTTGCTAAGTTCAAGAGTCTTCTAAGTGAGTTCAAGATAATTGATGTGTTTATTGAGCATGATGATGAAGGGAATAGGGTCTGTGGTAATGCTACACCTAGTTTTAGAGCTGGCGGGACTAAAAATCAAACCCATACACCTATACAACCATTTTTACCACAAAACCAGTGCACACAGAACACCAACCTGCTGACTATATTGAACCTGAAACTGAGACAACCAATTTATTCAATTTGGGGGATGATATTGAAAATGATGAGGAGAGTAGTGATGAGGAGGATGTAGAGGTGATAGATGCTAGAGAGAGACTTAAATAAGCAAGTAAGGTTGAGCTTGAGTTTTTGAATGAGCTAGATTCTTTGAATAGAGTTGCTGGTAGGTTAGGAGACCGTAAGGGTCAAGATGATGATCATGTTGATGATGGTGATGCTTCATCAGAGTATGAATCTTTGTCAAACTCTAATGATGATGATGATGATGAGTGTGGTTTTCTATTGCCACAACCTGGTAAGAAAAAGAAAAGAGTCAGCAAACAAACTAGCCATTATTTACCCTTTCCAACACACTCAGAAACAGAGTCCCCTTTCTATTTAGGACAGAAGTTCAAGGATATTGTGGAATTGAGAGAAGCTATTACCACTTACTCTGTAAGCATAGGGAGGGATATAAAGTATATAAAAAATGACAAAACAAGGATAGGGGCAAAATGCAAGGCAAGGGAAAGGGGATGTCCTTGGTACTTATGGGCATCAATGAGTGGCAATGGGACATTAAGTGTGAAGACTCATATCCCGCAACACAACTATGGGAGAGTGGCAAGAGTGAAAAAAATAAGAGCTACATGGATTGCTAGTAAATACCATGGTAAGTTCAAAATTAATCCATACTTGAAGTGTCAAGAAATTGTTGACTCTATATGGTCTGAGTGGGGGATCAAGATTTCACTTTGGATGGCTTTGAAAGCAAGAAGAATGGCTCATAGGTTGATATTAGGTGAATATAAAGAACAGTACTTACTCCTTCACAGATATGCTCAAGAAATTCTTAGGTCTAATCCTGATAACACAGTGAAGTTCAAGTTGAATAACAATGTTTTTTAAAGAGTCTACATCTGTTTTTCTGCTTTGAAAAAGGGGTTCCTAGTTGGTTGTAGGCCCTTTTTTGGATTAGGTGGATGTTTTTTAAAAGGTCCTTATGGGGGTCAACTTCTTGTTGCTGTTGACAGAGATGGGAACAACCAAATGTTCCCAATTGCCTGGGCTTGTGTTGAAATTGAAAACACAGAGACATGGACATGGTTTTTGTGTTTACTTGCTGATGACTTAGGTACAGCCGATGGTGCTGGTTATACCATCATGAGTGACCAACAAAAAGGGTTGCTCAAGGCTGTTGGTGACATATGGCCTAGTGCAAACACAAGAGTTTGTGCTCGACATGTCTATTGCAATTTTAGGCTGAAATTTGGAGGTAGTTTGCAATACAGGAGATTGTTTTGGAAAGTGGCTAAAAGCACAACAGAGAATGAATTTACTAGAAACATGCAGCTCTTCTCCTTAATGTCAGTCAAAGTAGGTGAAGACTTGATGAAGAGAAATTATAAGAAGTGGGTGAGGGCTTTTTTGACTTCAACATCACAGTGTGAGAGCATTGATAATAACATGAATGAAGTTTTCAATGCTTACATACTTTCTAGCAGACACAAGTCCATCATAACCATGCTAGAAGATATTAGAGAAAGCCTAATGGAGAGGCTTCACAAGAAAAGGGACTTCATTGGTAACAAGGACATTCAAATCCGTCCTAGAATCAAAAAGAAATTAAAGAAGTCAAAGATAGATGCAAGAGGTTGGGTTGCATTTTGGGATGGCCATTTCACATATGGGGTTAGGGAAGGGGCAACTCAAACTAGATATGTTGTGAGCCTACTAAACAAAACTTGTAGTTGCAATGCATGACAGCTTAGTGGAGTGCCATGTAATCATGCTGTTGCAGCAATTTGGAAAGCCATTGAGCACCCGGAACGTTATGTATCAACTTGGTTCACTAAGGAGAAATACTTAAAGGCTTATGAGTTCCCACTTGAGCCTTTAAATGGACCCCAAGAGCGGCCTGAGTCCCCTTATGCTCCAATACAAGCCCCGATGATCAAGAAACTCCAAAACAGACCAACTACAAAGAGAAAGCCATCTTTGGGTGAGGTAGAAGGCTGCAAGCAGTCAAAGAAGGGAGAGTTACACAAATGCACTAATTGTGGAGAAGCTGGGCATAACAAAAGAAAATGTCCATTGCCATTGATAGATAATCCTATGCCTCAGTCATCAAAGCCAGCTAAATCATCACAGGTGGGTGACTCTACTGAATCAGGGCAACATCAGGCCCCAAAGAAGTTGAAGCAGACATCAGCAACTAAAGGAAAGAGGAAAGGGAAGGGAAACATTGTACCAGACAGCAGTAGTCAAGTAAATCTCCCTATACACAACAGAGGTGTGGGACTTTACACTTATCCTAAAGGTTACACCAGGCAGGCAGTGGTAAGTATACACTTACTCATATTTTTATTTAACAAATTTGCTCATGTGCACTTGTTTATACATACTAACATTATATATTATTTCAAAACTGTAGTACATCAACCAAAATCAAGCACTATCAACTCCTCAGTCAAATTTGATAGATTTAACAATAGATTAATGAGGTATGTTTCATTCAATTCATTCACTTCAATTGTCGTTATAAACACATCTAACTCATTTTTTTTTTCAGGTTACTACACATGATGGAAGAAGGAGCTATCTTTTATACTGTTAAGTTGGTGTAACGACTATTTTTTGGAATTCTCAGCAAACCTCTTATTTTGACAGTTGGAATATTTAGTGAATACTTGGAATTATTTTTATTTTTTTTTGTAAAAGTTGGAATATTTTGATATTTTGGCAGTTGGAATGTTTGAAATGTATTAAATGCTTTGAGGACTTAACTTTTGTATTAGAAGGACTTAACTTTTTATTTAGAAGGATTTAACTTTTTGGCCGGAGCTCAGGTGGGTTAACTTGCCGGAAAACTAACCACAGGTCCTTAAAGGTGAAAAAATAAGTGTCAGGTCCTTAAAGGTGAAAAAGGTCAAATGTTAAGTGCTTCCTTTATGCTTAACTCTAAATCAGTTAATACAATCAGCTAGTCAAAATAAGCTAATATAATTAGCTTCAGCTTTCAACTTTAAGCTATTCACCAAACACGGTCTTTACAATATTTAATTACTTTCCCTCACCTAGTGGACCCAACATATTTATATTTTATTAATTTCGTATTATCTCTCCTTTAATTCTCTCCACTTACTCACTATCTCTATATAATTTTTCATCTTTAAGGACCTGACACTTATTTTTTATTCTTCCACTCACTCACTATATCTATATTTTATTATTTTCTCCAATTTTTCTTAAAACTCTATGTATGGAGAAATGGATTAAGTATTTAAAAACGGAGTGAGTATTAATTATTATAATTTTTTTTTTTTTTTGAAAAAAACCTTCCCTTCAAAGGAAATGCAAAGAAAGCCAGTCAACTTTTGGAAGCAACCAACTTTCTCTCGTAGACTCGTCTCCGCTCTCCAATTCATTAATCAACTCAAAAGGTAACCATCTTCTCCTTTAATTCTTCATTATCTACGCTTCATTTTGATAACCTTCATTGCAGTAATTGTTTACAGTCATATTTCCATTGATGATTTTAAGCAGTTTAATTCTAAATTGAGCTTTTAATTGGGGAAAATATGGCGAAGGCTGGGGGAATCACAAACGCAGTGAATGTAGGAATTGCAGTGCAAGCTGATTGGGAAAATCGAGAATTCATTTCTCATATTTCCCTCAACATTCGTCGTCTTTTCGATTTTCTTGTCCAATTTGGTAATTCCTTTTTTCTTCCATTGATTTGATCTTGTTATTTTTCTATTATAATTTTTTTTAATAGTTTTGTAATGGATGTTGATTTAAATGGGGAGTTTAAATGTCTTCAAAAAAAAAAAAAAAAAAAAAGATGGGTATTTTAAATTGAAGATTTTGTGTTTAGAAAAATGTCTGAATACCATTTTGTTGCCTAATTAAGCTATTTCTCCTAACTGATGTCTGAAGCTGGATTTGTACCAGTAGTTTGTCGTTTCGTCTGCTATTGTGTTGGAAATTTCTTTCTATGGATTAGTTGAGGAGGTAGGACTTTGTTGTGATGAATAAAATTCCTTGATTTTATTAGTTTTAGTATGAACCATCTTGTTATATTAGGTTGTTTGGATTGATGTTGTTCTTGTTTCGAGGTTTGTTTGCCTTAGCTTCAACTTCAAGTGATTTATCACACCATAGTCCACAGGAATACTATCCCAAAGTTTCAAAGCAAGGTGATTCTGCTGAGCAAGAAGAGTAAAGGTGCTAATATGTAACAAAGGAAGAGTTTTGATTCCAGTGACAGAAACCAATATATAGAGGGGTGGGGAGATAGTAGTTGGAAATGTGAGGAAGAATATGAGTTGAGATTCTTTATATAGGATCTTATGGGAATTTGTGTAGGGTGCTAGGCACTCTAAGCGGAATTTCATGAATCTCATTCATACGCACCTAAATAATATCTCATGCATATACAAATAAAGGATCACATAATAGTTTAAAATTAACCTTTGAAGCGTGAATCCTCTTAGCAATCTTCTCTCTAGGGGATATAAAGAGCCTCAAATGTGACTCCTCTATTCGGTCCACCTGAATCAATGCTCCACCAATGCTAGTTGGACGGGAAAATCCTTCACCTTTCTTGGAGTAGAGAACCGGTTTAGAGAGAAAATATGGAGAGGAAAAAGTTACGTAGTTTTTAAAAAACTGAATACTGTATATTTTATTTTCTAAAACCTCTAATTAATATAATCATATTATCATTAATTAGGTTAGGGTTTCCTCTCCTCTTTTCCCTTCTTGGCCGGTCACCTTAAGGTCCACTGTGGGCTTTGGGTTTCTTTATTGATCCAAACCTAATGTGTGACCTTGTAGGATCTGTTTAGGTGGGCTTTGGGTTTATTACTCACTAACCCAAAGTTCTATAGCATTCTCTAGCAAGATGTATAGACGACCCAAATAAACGAATACTATCTCCATAATACGATCCATAATCTTACTTAGTAATTGCACTAGAGTTGAGGACACATTTCCTTCAATTTGTTCTTCCATGTTCCAAGGCTAGTTATATTTGAGTCTTCATGATTGCAGAGGTAGTTTTTTTAGATTTTTAGAATCTTACGTGCTATGTGCATGTCAATATTCATTTCACGAGTGGTTTTTATGAAGACATTTCAAAGTTCAAACTAAGCAATTCTGATCCGCAATGAGGAGATTAGGGTAAACCAGGACTAGTGATGATAACAGTCTGAGTGGTATTTACATATCTTCGTGGCTAAATGGAATAAGTGTCAAAACTGTTAATTAGTTGTGTATGCATAGATTTGGTATCATGTTCATGAATGGTGAATACTTGGTGGTGTTGCTATATGAGTTTAATGCAGGCCTTTGGTCTGTTAACAAAACATCCTTTGCACTTTGTCTTGGCCACTTCTATACATAGTTTCACTTGAGGTAATATATTGGCCAAAGAAAATTCTTGTTGACCTGATAGTTCCGAGTAATATTTTATGACAAGAGATGCATATATGAAGTACTTGAGCTAATCTTGATGATTAAGGCCTCATAAACCTTTTTTCTATTTTACACTAGTTCTGGCAGTTTCCTCTGCATGAAGTTCAATTCCTTATGCTTCTAGAGTCTAGAAGAGGAACCTTATGTTGAGTTATATTTTCTGGTGTATAGTATACCTGATTATGGCCTGATGAGTGACATTACTTTTAGAGTTCAAATTGAGCTGGTTTGACTAGTTTTCACATGATTTATTTTTTCAGAGGCTACAACAAAGGGTAAACTATCAGCACTGAATGAGAAGCTTGACACACTAGAGCGACGTCTTGAACTGCTTGAAGTCCAAGTGAGTACTGCATCAGCCAACCCTTCTGTTTTCAAGTGATTAATCTAGGAGAGAGTTCATCTTAAAATGCCTGCTTAGCTGCTATGATTGCTATATAGATGGAAAACTATATATCCTTGTATCTTCCCTGCCATAAATTCTCATTAGGTGTGTGGTTACCGTGATAAATTACATAATGCTCAATTTCTTCTGTGAATCATTTATTCTCTCATCAGTAATCATTGACTACATTCAGCATAAACGATCATTGAAAGTGGAAAAATGCCGCATGCTTACTACACTTTCATCTCTTTTGCTGCACTATCTTTATATCTTGATCTACAATGCCTGCTTTTGCTAAGGCGGCAAGGCATCAGCAACGTTGTCCTTGTGTATACATTGATTTAAATTTAGAAAATTGGTGATTAGAATCATATTTCATATGGGGCTTCCCAATTCCATCTTATAGAACTTAATTTTGGCATTTATTAACTATCACTCGTTTAAGGGTGGAAACATCATTAAACTCTTACAAGGTCTGGAACAACACTTATTCGAAGGAAAATGAGGTGTTGAACTTTTATAGAGCTAGATAACAATCAATTTTTTTTATGGGCCCAAACTTTGGATATACGTCATTAGTTTCACTAAGTTAAAAGAAAACAAGACTGGAATAGTGATTAAGGTGTTGGAGTTTAATGCATGAGCTCAAGTCCTAACAAATAACTCTTGACTAAGTCGTAAATATTAACATGAGTATAAAATACGAGGGAGCCCCAGTTGATCTCAGAGATTAACAATCTAATTTATCTCCTCTCACAACTTTATGTGTTGAAATCTGTGCCACTTTATTATTTAACTTTTATCATTTAAAAAATAAAAGAAAATGAATAAATTGTGAGAGGAGATTTATTCACATCATTTATCTCAGAGATTAACTTGAATTTACCCATAAAATACCATCAAATAGGTAAATAATATAGAGTACCATTAATTGTTGTAGTTGTATAAATATTTTGCTAATGGTACAAATAAGTATGTAAATTTTGTACATCAAATGTTTTATCACAGTGAGATATATTAGTACGACTAAGACAATTTATAATGTAATGGTATAATACACATGCATAATAGTGTACAAAAATGACTACTGTAATTATAAAAGTACCATTATAGATGTCAAATGACTATTTTACCCTTCTATTTGCAAAGAAAAAATATAGGCACTATGTGCTTCAATGGACAACTACCATCTCCCTCTCCGCCCCAATATTCTCTATTTTCATTGTCATCAAATTAATTTCCAAAATTTTCAATAACTAAATAAACTATTTTCTTGTGTTCCCTTAGGGAAGGTTTCTCGTTTCCTTTTAGGTTTATTTCTTAAGAGGGTTTTCTTAGCCTCCGTAGTTACACTTTATTTTAAAAATATTTTTTAAAAAGGTTTTCCTTCACTCTTTTCCCTCCTCTCTCTCTCTCTCTCTCTCTCTCTATCTCTCTCTCTCATCTGAATAATCTCTTTTCTTCATAATCTTAGTTTTGAATCTTTAGTGATGAGTTTACTAGTGGTAAGTCAAAAAAAAAAAAAATTAAAATTTAACTAACTGCTTTTAATAAATTGATCTCATCCTTGATACGATGTTTTCTCTTTTGTGGTTTATTTAGCCGTTTGTTCGATTGGCGAGGATTGAAAATCTAGAGTTTTATAATCACTGTTAGTATTTGGAGGACCATATGAGTGGTTTCGCCCAAACGACTATGCTCAATAGATTGCAAGCCTAATTAGTGCTAGATGAAGTTTTTTGTTAAGACAATTGTTGATCGAATCTTTGATGTAATTAGTTCTAAGGTGTTGTATTTTTGTTGGTTTTTAAAAAATTTTAGGAATTGTTTGTAAGTGACGTTTAACAATTTTTAATTAATGAAATCCTTTCTTCTTGTAAAAAAAAAAAAAAAAAAAAATCTTTAATCCCAAAATTAATTTCGTTAATCGTTTTCCAGTTAAATATTTGACTTCTATCTACACTTTCAGTAGTTTTTATGATTTATAATTACGACAAAACATTATCATGTGGGATCTTGTTTGAATCGTCCTCATGTAAATTGTATTAATATCCACTTTTTAATTTATTTACAATGTTGATATTAGATATATTAATTGTTAAAATTGTGAGTTAGCAAATGTGATAAGGAAAGTATTTTTTTTTACTTTAATCACAAAAACACACACACACACACACATAATTGTTTTTTACCACCAAAACTTATCAAATTTTTATTTTACCACAAAAAATTTCTAAAAATTGTTTTTACAGCACCTGCGTTCATGACAACCGTTAAATTAAATATAGCGGTTTTTAAAAAAATATTCTTCGATTTTTGTGCTAAAAACATGTTTTTTAGAGGTTTTGGGGGTCATTTTGGTTCCTTGGGACCAATTTGAGGTCAAAATTGACAAAATAAATTGCAAATGTCTCGTTTTGCGCAGTAAAGATATTTTTTGTAGTAAAAATGAGACATTTGTGATTTTTTTGTCAATTTCAGCCTCAAATCTGAAATTTTCTTTGTGGAGGCGGATGTACCATGTTTGGTACATCCATATTTTTTATAAAAGGCGGAATGAACATATAATTGCTTTTGTAAAGAACATATAACAAATGTTCTTTTTGTACATCTAAAGAACATCCATAATATTAATAATAAACATGATAATATTATGTAATGAACATTATTTATATCCACCCACCATAATCTAAAGACAAAATTTGAAGAACATTTCAGAGTAAACAATGAATATTATGTCATAAATAAAAACACATTATACTCACAATCAAATAACATGGAGATAAAGAATATTATTTAACAGTTTTTTTTTTTTTTTTTTTTTTTTTTTTTTTTTATAAATAAAATAGTGTTATGTTCTTTGTTATTAATAGTTTTTTGTTCTTTTTTATGTCTTATGTTCTTTTATCACGTTCATTACATTTTAACAAAATGTTATTTTTACTTTAGATATATATTCTTTACAATTGTATACCATGTTCTTTTCGCTTTAATTAAATGTTCTTTTCACTTTAATTAAATGTTCTTTACATTTTTATACAATATTATTTTCGCTTTTTTTTTTTTGAACGGATGTACCATGCGCATGGTACATTCGCCTCCATGAACCACTGATTGTCCCAAATCGGGCCCATAACAAAAAAAAATGACCCCCAAAACCCTTAGAGAGCATGTCTTTGTCACAAAAATCGAAGAATTTATTTTAATTTAGTTAAATTTAATTTTTTTTTACGGCAGGTGGTGAATAACATTTTTTTTTAATGGTAAAGTAAAGCTTTGAGAAGTTTTGGTGGTAAAAATATTTTATTGTTTTTTTTTAGGTAAAAATTATAATTTTCTATAAGAATATGCCAACTAAAAATTATGTAGGTAGCATAATGTATGAAAGTTTATATTTAATAATTATTTAGTGTTTAAGTTACATATTTCCTCCATTTTTTAATTGCAACATTGATGATTATAGATCAATTTATTCGAAGCTCGGGCTTTTGAAGAGGAAAAATCAATATAAATGATCTTTTTTGTAAAACGAGCCTTACTAAATGAGCAAGATCTTAACATATATATGAACCACTTATGTGAGGAATTATAAGTGTTTATAATCAAGAAATAAAATACAAGTATAAGAAAATAATTTAGGGCTTTAAGACAATTAAGAAAAATAAGCATAAACAGTGCGATTCTGGTGCGGTTGGCCGTACGGTGCCCTAAAAGTAACCCCTTAAGTAACCCCACTTAAGTAATCCCCTAAGTAACTCCTCAAGTAACCCCCCAAGTAACCCCTCAGGTAACCCTACTTACCCCAATAACCACCAAAGTAACCCCTGATCGTACCAAGTTACCCTTGATCGGACCTAGTAACTCCCCTAGTAACCCCTGACCGGACCTAGTAACCCCCCTAGTAACCCCTAACCAAGTAAGTAACCCCTAATCCTACACCACATCAAAGCCTTAAACTCCACCACACCACCACCATCTCTCGTACTCACTACCCCACGCCACCAGCCCCAACGCCACTAGCCCTTAACCCTGATCCACCCAACCTAACACTGACCTAACCTGAACTCGAACCCACATCCAAAACCCACCCTAACCACCAGAAACCACGTTGCTGCCACCAAATCCGATCCCAAAACCCACTCTAACCACCAACCACGCCCAGCAACCCACACCTAGCCCCGATACGCATCCACCCTAACACTGACCAAACTCGAACCCACACCCAAAACCAACCCAACCTACCCTAACCACCACGCGCAGCAACAAACCCAAATCCAATCCACCTTAACCACCACGCGCAGCAACATACCCAAATCCAACCCACCCTAACCACCACTCGCAGCAACAAACCAAAATTCGACCAAAACACAACCAAACCGGAAAAAAAAAATAAAAAAATCTAACAAATACCTTAATTATTAACAATGGCTTCAAATAGGCTAAAAAGGTCAAATTCGACTATGAAAACACTAGATCTAGAGTTTTCATGGCCGAATTTGGCCTTAAAAACCTCTAAGTTATTTTTCGGCGACGGAGTTGAAGAGCTTCATGACGATCACGAGCTAGGTAGAAGGAAGTCGATGACGATCTGGGTTGGAGAAGGAAGTCGACGACGATCTGGGTTGGAGCATGAAGACGGTGCTTCAAGGATAAAAAAATGGAGGAGAGAAGAGAGAGAAAAAAAATTGTGGCTGGCCATACGGTGCGGTCAGCCGCATATAAAACTTTGTAATGCATAAATAGGTTTGTTGTTTTGATGCTAACTAGCCTTCTGGCCCGTGCAATGCACGACTTGTTCATAGAAAATTGCATTGAGAGATGAGTGAGAAAATACCAATAAATAATTATGAGTGTGATATGTAAATGAAAACATAAATAAAGAAATAAAAATTTTGGGACTGTAACTTAAAATGAGACTTAATAGAAAGAAGATGGAGGGACTAAAATCAAAGAGAGAAAATAAAAAGGTTGAATTAAAGAGGGCAGATGAAGATAAAGTGTTTAATGAAAGAGTTAAGAAGATTTGTATAATTAAAAATAAAAAATATAAAACGACATGTGGCACATTGAGTTGAAGATGATGATAGGGAAGTGTAATAGAATGATGACATACGTCTTTTTTTGGTTTGCTTTTTTAAATACGAAGTATAGATATAGATTTGAGTATATATAAATATTATAGAGTATTGATTATTTATAGCCTTAATTTTAGATTGTAATATACAAAATATAAAATATATACTCCAT